TTCAAAAATATATGTAAATATATATTCAGAAATATATGTTGCGGGCAAAATTCGCAAATGGGCAATGTCGAATTGCCCGAGTTGACTGCTGTACAATGTCAGCATTGCCCACATGCGAACTTTGTCCGTAACATAATACAATATATCTAAACATGAATCTAAATATAAAATAAATAGATTATCATTCATTTGACATATTCCTAGAGTTTTCTATAACAAAAATTAATGTAATTATTGCATTATATATGCTAATAAAAATACTTTTAGACCAACAAATTTTACAGCTGATTTGCCTGGGAATAAAACATAATAAAGTTTTCAATGAATATGATCACCAAGTTAAGAAAGAAAAAGAAAATTTACATTATATAATATTTGATTTTAGACATATTAAAGGTCATTATATTTGATTCCCCACACATATTGAAACTAATCCGTATTAATTCTCTATAATAAATATAAATGTAAATAAAAAATTTTAATATTTAAAATTTAAGACAGATTTTAAAAAAAATTTCAATAATATTTCTAAATTAATTTTAATTAACGTTAGACGTTCTATTGTGACAATAAAAATTCATACCTGATAAGGCGTAAATGGATTTCTATGATGTTGTTTAAAATTTCATTAAAATTGTTACATAAAGTCAAATCAATTAATCGGTATCTAAAGTTTTCTAACTGGCCACAAATATGAAGTACCATTATAATTAGAAAGACATCTACAGACATATAAATTGTAGATGCCAACAACATTGTTACAGTTTGAATGAAAAATATTAATTCAAATTGCGGACTTTTATCTGTATCGTAGAAATGATACATCTTCAACGGTAACGGTTTGCTCACATTCGTGAGATTCGCTACGTACACTACTGAAATGCCAAAACAAGGTAAGATGATCGATGTGAGAAACGCTATTATCACACAAACGTATCCAATTATCGTAATTAATCGTGCTGTTTGTGCTTGTTTTATCATCACATTTCTTTCTCTATTTTGCTTGAATGCTATCCAATCATCCGCCATCATGTTTACAATTGACAAGACAACTTAAAAAAATAAATAACTTTAAATAAGACATAAACATTACTAAAGATGCTAAAATAGTGAATTATTCAGATATAAGTTGCTATTTTTCGGAAAAAATTTATCATGCATGAATATATATGTACTAAAACCTTTTACGCCTCACAACTCTCTCTTTTGTCTTAAATTATATTATATTTTTCTATAAAACTTATATTTTCCAAATTATTCAGAACCGATCTTTTTTCCCCATCCAGTATATATGTAATTATATACGAAATATGTATCCATGTATGTTACATATCCTTTTTTCTTTTATAAAATTACTAT